GGAATCGATAAGGGAATCGTTTGCAAAAATGGCAAACAATTCCAAGGAATTGAAACAGTGGGAACCGGTTCTCAACAAGAACCAGTTTTCGATACCCATCCCTAGTTATAATTCACTTGAAAGCCTGAAATGAAAAAACTGTTCTGGTTGTTGTATCTGAATACTATGGATTCTCTGTAAAAGAAAGCCTCAAATCAGAAGTACTTGACTCCCTGGTATAATTCTCAAACACGCACCTTAAAGCAAATAACTCATAAACAGGAGAGGGAATGGCGTCTCACTAATTTAGAAGATCATCATTTAGCCTGGAGAAATACTTTGTTGCTCTATTTTTTAAAAAGCCCTCTTTTAAAGCTAGAATATGTTACTATTCATCACTGATAGAAGAAAATAAGGACAACTCTAGGTTTCTCTTCAGCACTGTAGCCAGGCTGACAAAAAGTTAGAACTCTGTTGGACCAAGAATTCCTTTAACCTTAACTATTAATGACTTCATCCATTATTTAGACTCTTTTTCTCCAATTGATCTTTTTGAGTTAACTTAAACAATTACTTCTTGTCTTTTAGACCCCATTCCTACAAGCCTCCTTTAAAAAGTCCTCCCACTTAATGCTTCAATCTTAAATATGATCAACCTATCTCTATTCATGGACTATGCACCACAAGCCAAATGATCTTCTTGTGACAATGAACTCATCTCTGTGCTTGTCCCTCTAGACCTCCGTGCAGGGTTCAACACTGTCGACGATAATAATTTACTGTGATTTGAGCATGCTGTAAGTATTAAAGGTACTCCGCTGCAGTGGTTCGAATCATATCTATCTAATAGACTACAATTTGTTCATGGATATGGGGAGTCTTAATTACTTCCACAGAGCTAGCTTGATCTATCCATGACACCAGTAAACATGCACCAATTACTTAAAATGCAGTAATGTCCTGAAGACATAAAGACCTGGATGACCTCTAATTTTCTGCTTCTGAATCCAGATAAAACTTATTGTACTTGGGCCTAACAATCTAAGACACATGGTGTAACCAGATGGTAGTCACCACAGTAACCGAACCTTTTTCATTCAACTTGTAACTCACCAGTTTCAGAGGAAAGTTGTTTCTTAATCCACTTAACACTGCCCTATAAATCACTTAAGAATAAAAAAGACATCAAACTCAAAAAATGACCCAGTATTATTTCTGTACATAACAGGCAACTAACAATTTTCAACTGTATGTTTGCAAAACAAATTTTGTGACATTTGGTTCCATTTCTTTAGTTGAATCTATGAAAAACGCCAAAGATCAGACAGTTTGACAGACATTAAATAGTGTTTTTGGACCAACAAGGCAATTTTAAAAGAGGTCTTAGCTGAAAACTTGACATATTTCAACATGGTGTGCAGTAAACCCTTAAAAAAAACTGCAGATGCAGTTGCTCAGGTCGTTCTCTATAGTCCCTCTGTAGAACATGGTGAGAATGGATGATGGGAGATGGGCTTTTATCAGCTTCCACAGGAAGTAGAGACGCTGTTGGGCCTTCTTGGTTAAGGAGCTGGTTTTGAGGGACCAGGAGAGGTTCTCCGCCAGGTGGACACCAAGGAATATGGTGCTCTTGATGACCTCGGATCCATCGATGTTAAGAGGACAGTGATTTCTCTGTGCTCTCCTAAGGTCAACAATTATCTCTTTTGTTTTCTCCACATTCAGAGACAGGTTGTTGACTCTACACCAGTCCGTTAGCTGTCACACTTCCTCTCTGTATGCTGACTCGTCGCTCGTGCTGATGAGACCCATCACAGTCGTGTCATTGGCGAACTTGATGATGTGGTTCCAACTGTGCATTGCTGCACAGTGACATGTCAGCAGAGGAAACAGCAGTGGGCTGGGCACACAGCTCTGAGGGGCTCCAGTGCTCAGTGTGGTGGTGTTGGAGATGGACTGTCTGAGGTCTCTCTGTCAGATAGTCCAGGATCCAGTTGCAGAGGGGGGTGTTCAGGCCCAACGGGCTCAGTTTTCCAGTCAGGTGCTGAGGAATGATTGTGCTGAATGCTGAACTGAAATTTATGTACAGCATCCACACATATTTTTATTGGATTGGATTTATATAGCGCTTTTCAAGGCACCCAAAGCGCTTTACAATACAACTATTCATTCACTCTCACATTCACACACTAGTGGAGGCAAGCTACAGTTGTAGCCACAGCTGCCCTGGGGCAGACTGACAGAAGCCAGGCTGCTATATCGCGCCATCGGCCCCTCTGGCCAACACCAGTAGGCAAGTAGGGTATAGGGTGGTGGCGATGGCATCATCTGTTGATCAGGTGGGACAATAGGTGAACTGCAGTGGGTCCAATGTGGGTGGCAGCTGGGTCCTAATGTGCCTTATGACAAGTCTCTCGAAACACTTCATCATGATGGGTGTGAGTGCAACAGGATGGTAGTTATTGAGGCAGTACACTGAGGACTTCTTTGGCACAGGAACGATGGTGGTGGCCTTGGGGCACGTTGGAATGAAAGCAGTGCTATGAGAGAGGTTGAAGATGTCAGTGAGGACATCTACCAGCTGGTCTGCACATTCTCTGAGCACTCTTCCAGGGATGTTATCTGGACCAGCAGTCTTCCATGGGTTAACTCTTTGAAGAGTTCTCACATCAGACGAGGTCAGAACCTGGTCGTTGTGAGGTGGGGTGGTCTTCCCCACCATCACGCTGTTCTGAGCATCAAACCGTGCATAGAAGTTGCTCAGTGCATCTGGTAGGGAGGCGTCACTATCACAGGCAGGTGTCGTCTACCTGTAGTTGGTGATGCCCTGGATGCCCTGCCACATGCGCCGCGTGTCACCACTGTCCTGGAAGTGGCTGTGGATTCTTCAGCCATGCGCGCATTTCGCTGCTCTGATGGCTCGAGGCAGTTTGGCCCTCACTGTTCCCCGGGCCACCTTGTCACCTGTTTTGAAGGTGGAGTCTCGAGTCTTTAACAGCACACGCACCTCTGCAGTGGTCCACATTTTCTGGTCTGGTATTATGATAGTGCTGAAGTCGGTGACATGATCAATGCACTTGCAATGTTCCTGATCACAGATGATGTGTACTCCTCCAAGTTGGTGCAATCGCCATTTGTAGCAGCCTCCCTGAACATGTCCCAGTCAGTGTGCTCAAAACAGTCCTGAAGAGCAGAGAGAGCTCCAGCAGGCCAGGTTCTCACCTGTCTCAGAACCAGCTTGCAACGTCTGACGAGCGGTCTGTATGCCGGAATTAGCATAACAGACAAGTGGCCAGAATATGCGAGATGGGGGAGGGGCCTCGCTGGGTGCAGAATGAGGATGTTTGTGTAAACAAGATCGAAATACACTAATACACTAATATACTAATCATGAGAGATTGTTGGATTGATTTTTACATCAGAGTGTAATGTGACCACATTTGCAGTCACATCACACTCTATGTTAGTGTTTTTCAAACATGAGCTTTCATTGTGCACCTTTGGGCTACACATTATACATTACAGAGGGTGAGCAGTGTAATGTAGGCTCCTCTGCCACCTGATGGCAAAGCAAATTACCCAGTGCTAGTGCAAACTCTACGACGCTACACAAATTTTCCATTTTCAAAGCAAAACATAAAGAAATGAGACGTGGCTCAGGACTTTTGGACAGTACTCTACGTTAAGCCCTTAATTTGATTCTTATTTCCTAGTTTCCTCTTGTACTTTCCCATTGTAGTGTACATTTCAGTGTTTTTCTGTAACGCTACCGATCTCCGACTTGTATCCCCATGTCATGTCTGTGTTGTGTGTGTAAGATCGGGGGGTCCCATTTCACTGCAGGGCAACCTGCATGTGGCGAATGAAGCTTTGATTGATTGATTGATTGATTGATTGATTGATTGTTATTCAACCCAGTGATTTCCATTTTTCTCTTTATAATGATGCCACAGTAACTTACAGGCAAGTGTAACATGCATACTTGAAAATCACTACTCGCTGCACCTGATGAAGCAGTTGAACAGGAAGACAGTACTGCGGATGACCCTTGCAGTGCGGCTCTCTTCGTGCTGTGATCGCGATAGTGTCAGCCCATCGTCCATGTGCCCCTCATGGTGCATGATTGCCTAAATAAGAAACAAAGTTTCTCCAGGTTCAGCAGATTCAGAAATGTATTAAGATTGCTCAGTAACAGAGGAAGTTGCTTTGCAGTTGATGGGTGATGCATTGATTGGATACATGAGGAATCTTCAGAATATTTATAGGAAATTTGCACAAAAACAGTTCCTATAGTGAAAAAAGTAAAGTCTTTTACAGGATCCAGCAGCTTTTAGAATTAGTGACAGTTCTTTCATTTTCACTAACTATTGCCACAGAGACCCGGACTAATATGTTAAACATATAAATACTTATATGTTGTTATTATGTGTTGTTAATTTTTCAAGGTTTCCCTCTGCGTTGGCTGTCAGTGGAACCATGTCAACAATGTTTCTTGATGGTATGACACAAGAATCAGAATGATTTCTGAAGTGCAGAGGTGTCTACTCTGCACAGATTCAGCCAAATACCACAAAACTGCTTGTACAGCAGAGTAAATGGCTAATGGCTAAACACATACTGCAAAGGCAACCCAAGAAAGAAGAAGACAAAGATAGATATTCTTCATTGGTCAAGTCAGTCACCAAGTCAGCTTCATTTGCAGTTAGTGAAAGACCCACAAATATTTTTATTACAATGGTGTTAATAAATTAAGCCTGAAATTTTCACTTCAATTACATTTGAAATGTTTGATTTAAAATCTAATGTGGTTGTGTACAAAAAGTAAAAACTAATAACATTTAAAAATGGTGTCATTGTCCAAATAATGCAGCAGATTCAAAGTATCTGAGGTAAATCCAATGCTACTGGGTCGATGAAAACACTATGCAAGAAGTGCATGAATTTTACATTCATCTTAATTTTACGTTAACTCTAGCATAATGAAAGTCCACAACCTCACCATGGACCATATTTACAGACACAAGTATTTATAAAGTTGTAATAGGTGAAGTTATTGTTTGGTGCGGTATGGTACCTTTCTCTGTACTCCACCCATGCGTGCACACTTGGCATCAACAGTCTGGTAAGTAAGCCACAGACAGGTGTCAACATGTTGAATGTAACACACAGAGTCACCATACTTTATGTCAGGAGTCCCCATCCCATCCACGTCCTTCCTCACACCCAGGTCCAGCTTTTCCTGAAGGAGAAACAAAGAGGAAAATTCACTTAGACAAGTGAGCCTATAAAAACACAGAGAATTTCCTTCATTCAAAACACAATGATTTCATAGATTATGGCCTTCACAGACAGCACTGCTACTGATGTCACTAACTCTATACCTTGGAAGACCTGAAGCAGAAGGCTGTAGACTTGACATCAGCTTTCTCTTTGTCCATCAGCAACAGAGACTTGTCTTCTACCATGCTCAGATACTTCCCTGTGGTCACATGTCTCAGTCTGAATGGCTGACCCCAACGGATATGACTCCCACTCCACCTGGACATATTGACAGAAATCCAAAAAAAGTCAAGGAACCTGACTGATTTAATAGTGCATGTTATGAGGAATTACACATACAGAACATCAATGGTTTCAGTGCCTTTAAACCTGCATTATACAGTATTATTTAGTCATTGAACCATAGATCGAATTACTAAATATAACATATAATGTAAACATTCCTTTTTGTACATACATATACATATGTTGAAATAAATTATTACATTTCCAACATGTCAGTGGTTAAAGTTGCCACAGTGAGTGACAGGTGTCCCCACACACCAGCTTGTCCACCACTGTGGACAGTTTCTTAGCCATCACCAGTTTGTCTGTATCTGGAAGACCCACAGGATCTGGGATGATCCCTTTTTGACCTCTGGACTTCCAGGCCACATTCAGCACAGATGTTCCTGGATACGATGCCAGCCACTTTTATGGCATTATGGCGTTCCATGTATGTCCTGCCTGCTAGCATCTTGCACCCTGCAGTCATGTGTTGGATTGTCTGAGGGGCATCTTTGCATAGCCTGCACATGCGTATCATTTAAGTTCATATGTGTGCAAAGGCAGACCAGTGAATACTTTTGGCAAAGTCTTTCCTGCCATTCTTGAGTTCCTCATACACTACCACAGTTTCTCACTTAGCTCCTTATCATATGCTTTGTCTGGATCCACAAAGAGAAGGTGTAATTCCATCTGACCTTCTCCACACTCTCAAAGCTAATATCCCGTCTGTAGTGCTCTTTCTCAGATAGCAACCATATTGCTGCTCACTGATCATCACCTTTCTTCTTAACCTAGTTTCAACAGCTCTTTCACATGCATTCATCTTATGGCTCACCAGTACATCCTCTCACTCTCCAAAACTGTGTTTAACAGTCTGGTTAAAAAGTTTACTTCCCTCTCTCCTACACGTCTCCATGCTGCCACAGGTATGTCATCTGAATCAACTGCCCTCACTCCCTCCTTTCTAAGCCTCTGCACTTCCTGATTCACTAGCTGTCCTCAATCCATCTCTCTCTCTCTTCTTTTCTACATTCATCAGTTCCTTAAATACTGTTTTCATCTTCTCAACACAGTCTCTTCACTTGTTAACATGTTTCTATCTAACCTGCTGCACACCCTTTCCAGCTCAATCTCTCCGCCTGACGCAACTATCACAACTTTCCTTTGTCTTCCTTTATCGTGTCTTGTGACTGACACTAGCATTACATTGGGTTTTGTATGTGTTTTACATGTGTTTTTATTTTGCATTAACCTGTTTGTAAACGTATGCAGAGCACATGTATGTTGTTTATACTCACACGACTCGCAGTGTCTCCAGCCTCCACAGTGACCTGGCATGACAGGACACGGCTCCACCTTCGTAATGCACTGTCCTGGAGAAACGAATGACAGAATTGCAAATCTGTTTTAACAAATCTCCCAACAGTGCTGTTATATTTGCAAAGAAGATTCATAAGTATTTAACCTGATTATACAGTCTCATATCAAACCCCAGCAGTTAGTCAGATGGGAGCACAGTTACTTTGAGCCTCATTGTTTAACAGCTTGGCAGTCTCCTTTGGGAACTTCTTAAAACTATAATTATTAATAGTCTTATTCATCTTAGTCAAAGCTCTCTGTCAGTAAAGGGACTTGTTACATTCTGTCCCTCCAAGCAGAACCAGACAAACTGAGTATTATATGTGTAATGGCCCCAACTGGTGGGTAAAGAAAGCTGAAGGTAGGCAGAACAAAAAATGTTGACTGGAGAGGCGTCTTTTGAAATAAGACTTGGAAACTACGTGTGTTCTTTTAGAGCCAGTCCAGTGGGATATATCCCACTGGACTGGCTATAGCACAGCATTAGTTCAGCTTACCATCATCCCTATATAATGGCCCAGTCACGCTAGACTACTGGGAGAAAAATAGTGGCTTCCCAGCACCGATTTGAGTTTTTGTTTTTCTGTTTGTTCCAGTCATTCCAACTGCTTGCCCAGAGGTTAAGCATGCAACACCCTCAACCTCTGTAGACCACTTTCACTCACAAGGTAGTTGCACTGGTGGATCTGTGGAGCTTGGATTGACTGCAATCACTTCCAGACAGGTTGGTAAAACCTTGAAAATAACTGCTGTCCATTGAATAAACACAGATTACCAACATGATGCAGTCAGTCTGAGTCTCTGCTGATGAGCACAACTCAACAACTATTTCACTATTGGTGAAGGAATTTTTTAATTTCTGCTTCCAAACTAAAGCTTTTGCCTGGACTTTGAATGTACAGTGCTGTCTGCATTTTCTTAGACTTACATGTTTCAAATAATCAAACCGTTTTAATATTAGACAATGATAACTTTATATTGTTTCTGTCACGGTTCTGGGTCAGTTTCAATGTTTTGGTTTATTTTGCATGTTGGAGTGTTTTGGGGTTGTCTGGTGTTTTGATTATTTGTGATATATTATATTACTGTGATTCTGGTTTGGGGTTTTTGTTCGCAGGTTTTGTGTGAGTTTAGTTCTGTGTCCTGTCTGCGTCCTCGTGTAGTGATCTCTTGTTTCCTGTTTTATTGTGAAGGTCTGCGTCTCATGTGAGTGTGTTCAGTTTTACCTCTGTCTCGTCTTGTTGATTACTCCCAGCTGTGTCCCTACATGTGTGTGATCTCCCTGTGTTTCTCTGTGGGTATTTAAGTTGCGTCTTCTGTCTTTGTAGTTGCTGGTCCGTCTGTGTATCCACCATGTTTCATTCGTGTGTTCCCTGCCGTCATCGTCATGTACCATCGTCTTCCTTCCTTTATATCCAGGTTCGTGTTCTTGTTCATGCTCAATAGTTTAGTTGTCCCAGTATAGTTTAGTTCTCTGTTTTGCCGTTTGCCTATCTATACTTCGTGTTCAATAAATCACCTTCACACCTTCACAACTGCCTGCGTTTGGATCCTCCTTTACCTTTTCAACACGGCTCTTCTCACTCGCCAGGACAGTACGGACCAGCCAGATATGGATCCAGGGGCATTCACCCCACCCACGGAGCTTCGAGAGCTCATAACGGACTCAGCTTCAAAATCAATCAACCTGTGGCTAGAGCATGAGGGAGAAGCATTTCTCTACATTCTGGAAGCCAGGCTACAGCAGTCTCAGCCGTCATCCCCCGCTTCCACGGAGGACGTGCCGTCCGAGCCGCCGGACGAGGAATTACCCAGCCCGTCGGAGCCATGTCCAAAAAGAAAGTAACGTTCGCGCCATCGACGTAGCACCCCACAGCCGGATGTCGGGACATGTAAGCCACCGGCAGTGGTGAGTGAGAGTGACACTGTTTCTGCGTTGCCAGAAACAAGGACAATTTATTCTGGGGCCATTTTCTGTGTTTCCACTGAAGATGATAGTGGTTTAGTGGTTTTTCTATGGCCGCCGCTTCAAAGACTGTTTTTCCTGAGCCCACGTTCTGTGTTAATGACTGTTTCCACTCTGTTGTTTCCAAGCCTGGTATTATGAATTTAGAGAATGGAAATGTTTGGGACTCTTTTTCACCTGCACTGATTCATTCAGGGGAAGCTGTAAACCTCACCGAAACAGTTTTTCCTGATCGTGTTCTCCCATCCACACTTTCACCACAGTCTAACGTTGGGTCTGCAATACACTTAGCAGTTCAGTCAGCAGCCCAGCTGCCCACAGTTCAGTCAGCTAATCCACCACCTGTTACACCTCCATTACCGTCATCTTTGCTACCTGTAGCTCAGTTGCCACTAGTTCAGCAGCCTGACCACTCTTTCATTCAGTCACCACCCTCACCGTCTCATTACAAGCAGGGAACACACTACATAAAAACTTTAGCTGGTTCTCAGAAGCTGGTCATCTCCGAGAAAGTAACTCCCTCCAGGGCCTCCCCAGAGGTTTGGTGCCAGTCGCCAGCCAACTCTGGATCCCTGGAGGTTAAGTCACCAGCTCCAGCAACTTCATCCGAGAACTTTTCTGAGCAGTCTCAACCGTCATCCCCTGCTGAGAGCTCCAGTGAGTTCGCCCTTCTGCCTCCGTCCTCTGCTGGAGGATCAGAAGGACCCATTCAGCCGTCTATCTCAACTGGAGGGCCGGAGGAGCCTGTCCAGCTTCAAGCCATGTCAGCTGGGGGTTTGGGAGAGCCCAGCCAGCCTCAAGTTTTGTCAGCTGAAGGGCCAGCCTCAAGCCAAGTTAGCTGGTGGGCCAGAGGAGCCCGTCCAGCCTCAAGCCAAGTTAGCTGAAGGGCCCGAGTCGACCGTCCAGCCTCAAGTCACGTCTGCTGGAGGTCCCGAGTCGCCCGTCCAGCGTCAAGCCAAGTTAGCTGGTGGGTCCGAGAAGCCCACCCAGCACCACGCCTCGTCTGCTGGGGGTCCTGGAGGACCCAGCCAGCACATCCTCATGTCAGCTGACGGTACGGGGAAGTCTGTTCAGCCGTCACCTGCTGAATCATCCCCTGCGACTTCTACGCCGTCACCTGCAGCATTCACATCACCGCCTGCAGCCTCACTGCCTGCTGCATCCGCAGCATCACTGCCTACTGCATCCAAATCGTCGCCTGCCGCATCATCGCCTGCAGCATCATCGCCTGCAGCATCATCGCCTGCAGCATCATCGCCTGCAGCATCGCCACTGTCAGGTTCCACGGCCGCCACGCTGCCGTCCGGTCCCGCAGCCGCCACGCTGCCGTCCGGTTCCGCAGCCGCCACGCTGCCGTCCGGTTCCGCAGCAGTGTCTTCATCCACGCCTGCAGCGTCAGTCTCATCCATGCCTGCAGTGTCAGCCTCATCCACGCCTGCAGCGTCAGCTTCATCCACGCCTGGTCCTGCCTCGTCAGCTTCATCCACGCCTGGTCCTGCCTCGTCAGCTTCATCCACGCCTGGTCCTGCCTCCGTGTCTTCATCCACGTCTGGCCGAGCCTCCGTGTCTTCATCCACGCCTGGCCCAGCCTCCGTGTCTTCATT